CGGACACACACACTCGGACACACACACACAGAGCTTGGTGCAGTAAGAAAAGCGCTTCTCACAAAACAAAAGACTTCTGCTAAATTACAAATAAAACATTTACTTTTAACATTATTATAAAAGTGATTATGTTACACAATTATGTAAAAATAATAATTAAAGACACAATATCAGTTGTGTTGGACAGTGACAAACTAAAACTAGGGTTATTATAGAATTTTACACAAAACTAGAACCACAAAAAGCATTTTTGTTACTTAAAAATAAACGTTAACTGATATTTAAAAAAAAAATTTTTTTTTAATAAATTTAAACATTGTAACATTTAAAAAAATAATAATTTAAATTTTACATTTAAAAATGCCTACCATACATTTTCATTACTTGAAATAAAATAAAATGGTTAAAAAATAACTTATTTTATTTAAGCTAGCTGTCAAAGCAACATTCTTATTTTTATTTTGTTATAAAAAATACATAAAAAATTACTTGCAATTTAAATACAATTAAAATGAAACTCAAACTCAAAATATAAAAAAACATATTTTAAAAAACTAATAGTATCTTAATATAAAAAATAATACTGCTACAAACTTTAACCAACTACAATTTCAGTAGTTAAAAAGTGTAGCTTTTCTAGTCATTTTCTTGTGATTACCAGAAATTTTCCAGTAATGATATGATATTCTATTTAAATGAAACTCTTGGGCAAAATAGTACTTAAATGCAACTGTTAATCAATACGTTTTTGATTTTTTGTTTAATGTCGAGTTGAATTGTGATGTTTGTGCAATGTGTTTGTGCTAGAGAATATTTTATATATATATATTGTCTTGTATTCTCTTGCAAAACATCTCTTGTGCGTGTCAAATTATGCGACCAAACATTACTTTACAGAGAGATTATGACCTACTAGCTAGCTAGTCAAACTCTGCCTATTTCAGTTCAAAATCATTGAGAAAAAATGAAGTCTCAAAAAAGGATGTATATATAAATTAAATGAAAGCATATAATTATTGAAATCTCAATAAGTTGAATACCTCCAGGCAGCGGTCCTGCCATCTGCGAGCCAACATCTCCAACAGAGGAGGCCTGAACTTATCCAAACCCAGAAGATCCGGAAGCATGACACAATGCATGGCAGCCAGCTGACTCCAACCTACAGAAACACACACACACACACACACAAGCGCACAGGGTCAGAGAGACAGACCATCACCACCGTTCACAACACCCCAGCTGAATCACATCCTCACAGGAACCTGGAAAAACCAAACGGCTCACAAACATCAGAGGAACATCAGCAACAGCAGAGGAGGCCTGAACTTATCCAAACCCAGAAGATCCGGAAGCATGACACAATGCATGGCAGCCAGCTGACTCCAACCTACAGAAACACACACACACACACAAGCGCACAGGGTCAGAGAGACAGACCATCACCACCGTTCACAACACCCCAGCTGAATCACATCCTCACAGGAACCTGGAAAAACCAAACGGCTCACAAACATCAGAGGAACATCAGCAACACTCTCGATTCATGAGGGGAAATGAGCCACATCCAACAGAGAGTCACATATATCAGGAATATATGGAAGAGCTTTTGGAAAACAATGAGCTTGCAAATGTCAGTAATGCACATGAACACTTTCAGAGGAGAAAACTGATTCAGCTTCAAAGAAACTGGTTTCATTTCTTTATGAAACAACAAACTTACCTTTAAGAAAAATACATCAGCCCATCAGTTTATACAAACTCATGTAATACACAGAAACACACAATTCATAATATAGACTGAATTTCTAAGATTGGAAAAAAGTGCAAAACAGAAACACTGAAGTATTAATATAAAAGTATATAATGTAATGTAATATAATCATATCATATCACATATTATATTATAAACAGTTTGTGTAAAATTATACATTCAATAATTTACAGTGAACATGTTTGGAAATTACAATTGCTAATATTTCCATTAATGCATTTTCAAAAATGTAACCATTTTAATCGGTAATGAATTTTATATTTTAATTTTTCATGTCAAAATATTTTTCTTTTTTTCTAAAATGTTTTTAAGAAACATTAATAATATCAATTTCAGAAAAAAAACATTTTAAAACAAACATAAAACATGGTACAAATATTTGCACATTAACTAAAATAAATACTTAACATGATAATATAAAATAAAAATGTAGCGTTTTATATGTATACAACGCCTATATACTGCACTAATGATTTAATTTGTATTCATAAAGACGTTTATTAAAACCTGAGGAGAAATGTGTGTGTATAGATATATATGTAAAATAAGCATGCAGTCCAAGACATTTACACACAGACAGACAGAGAAACGACTACAAGCACAAAGTACAGCAGAAGAGTGTAAGTGAACTGAACCTAGAGACAGAACCAATCACACAAACACAATAAACACACACAGGCACCGAGCGCCAGGCCCACAAGATGAACGGGAGAGAGAGCGAGCGAGAGAGCGCAGCTAAAGAAAAGGAGAGAGAGAGAGAGAGAGAGAGGCCTTTATTCAGAGAGCGAATACCTTCATTGACTGAGGGAGAGAGAGACACTCCTGAACCAGAAGACGGAGCAGCGATCGCAGCTTGCAAAGAGAGGAAAAGAGACGTGAAACAGAGAGAGAGAGAGAGAGAGAGAGAGACAGAGAGAGAGAAAAAGAAAGAAAGAAAGAAAGAAAGAAAGAAAGAAAGAAAGAACGAGGCCTCCAGCAGTGTTAGAGGAATTGAGCGGCAGTTATTAAAGGAAAATAAACTGAATAAATTGTTACAGAAATCACATGAAAACACAAGAAATCCACAGAAATTAAAATCTAAACACCATCAGAAACACACGGTTATTATGGTTATTATTGTGAGTATAACAAAAAAAATTATAATTTTAAAATCCTTATTATTTACCATGGTAAACCACCAAAATATGACTGGGTAGGTGATACATAAAAGTCCATACAAATATATATCCATATAAATATATATGCATATAAATGTATGAGAATAAATATTATATATATATATATACGGTATCTCACAGAAGTGAGTACACCCCTCACATTTTTGTAAATATTTTATTATATCTTTTCATGTGACAACACTGAAGAAATGACACTTTGCTACAATGTAAAGCAGTGAGTGTACAGCTTGTATAACAGTGTAAATTAGCTGTCCCCTCAAAATAACTCAGTCAACACACAGCCATTAATGTCTAAACCGCTGGCCACAAAAGTGAGTACACCCCTAAGTGAAAATGTCCAAATTGGGCCCAAAGTGTCAATATTTTGTGTGGCCACCATTATTTTGCAGCACTGCCTTAACCCTCTTGGGCATGGCGTTCACCAGAGCTTCACAGGGAGAGAGAGATAATAAATAATATAGAATAAATATTATTATTGATATATTATATATCAATAATAATAATATATAAAATAATATTAACATTAATGTTTAAGGCTATTTTCATTTTAATCACCTTTTTGTCTTCACTAGCTCATAATAAATATTCCTGCAGACATATGAATTTATAGAAGTACAAAGTCAAAAATATCATAGTTCATAAAGCAGCATTAAAAATAAATATTAAAAAGCTGTTTAAATAATTTCAGCTGTCAATTTCCCAAAACGTATTTAATGCAATAAATCAGTTATTATACTGTAGAATCATCAGATATTAATAAACATTAATAAGTAATTCTGTTATTATAGTAGTTTACCATGGTATTTAGTAGTATATGTAATAGTAAATGTTTCATAAAATAAGTGCAGAAACCTAGATAAAGATTGAAAAATATTATTAATTCAACAAAATCTGAATGAGATGAAGGTTTAAAAGAATTGTTTCGATGCAACCTTTTAAACCATTTATGCTATTATATATGTTTGTGATAAATCAAAACGAAAAAAAAAAAAGAAAACAGAATTTCACTAAAATTTTCTGATGGTATCTCCATACAAGCCATTTCACTGCACCTGAAAAATTTATAATTATTCAAAAATAAAATAATAATCAGATTGCGATATTCTCCCTGACTGTCTCGAGCAGAAATGAGAAGAAACAGAAAATAAAATGTGACCCTGGAGCACAAAACCAGTCATAAGGGTCAATTTTTCGAAATTGAGATTTATACATCATCTGAAAGCTGAATAAATAATCTTTCCATTGATGTATGGTTTGTTAGGAT